GCACACAGGTGGGCCAGCGGCATCCAGGGTCCAGGCCTAGAGCTGAGAGTGGTCTTCCTATCAGTGTCAGAATAGCAACTCCCAGGGAAGGCCTCTGATTGGTCCTGCTTGGATTATAGGCCCACCACTTGCACCAATGACCATGGCTGGCCCATAGAAAACTGTGACTGGCCTGTGTCAGCCTGTGACTGACCTGCATGTGGCTACCTGCAGGGCAGTGGATTACATACTATGATCCTTTTAGCCATGCATGGTTTAATAATGCCCATCAAATGATTAGGCGGAAGTCTGCAAATAAGGTGCTTGTGGTCCACCCCAGTGATTAGATAGCTGCAAATAAGGTACATGGGACCCTTAAGGGGGGTGGGAGCCTACAGGTGAGGATGGAGCCCTAACCAGGGGATTAGTCTGTTTTATCTCCTGCTAGGGTTCAAACGAGCCATCCCCGAGGGAGAAAGAAGGAGCATTCGCTACCATCAAGAAAGAGGAGCTTGAAGTGGAGTGTGTCCTTCGAACCTGCCGTGCCTGTGCTGAGAACCTCCTAGACCCAGGGGACAGAAAACCAATAGCCGAGATGGCACAAGACAGGGAGAAGCAGCGGCAGAGAAGTGGCAGCACAGGAATCAGGAGTCTGGTGTGTCCGGCCCCTGGACCAAGCCGAGAGGAGCCCAGAGAGCTCGTCTGCGCTGAAGAAGGGAGACTCTCACCTGTGTTTCCAGATCCTGCGCTGTCACCTGGTGTCGTCAGGGGCGGCTGAGTCATTCAGACTCAGAGCCACTCGAGCACCACAGGGCAACACGCGGCCCCACCCAGTGCCATCTTCATGACCACCGCTCTGGTTGAGTGTGCCATGGCAGTCACAGAGAGTCTTCCTCTGTCATGGACTCTCCACTTGATCCGGCACGGTGTCACTCTCCAGGGACTGGCCCCTCCCGTCCACCTGTCCAGCGTCTCACCGTCCTCACCAGTAAGGGACGTTCTGGCTTTGCGCTTCCTTTCAGGGGTCTTGTCTTCCTCACCAGCACCCTCACGGAAAGACATCCCGTCTTCTCCTTCCGTCTTCCTTCCGCACCATCCTGCTGTCCACCTGCCTAAGGGGTGATTGATGGGAAACCCCACGGCTTGAGTCAGGCCCACCTGAGTCCTCAAAGTCACAGCTTTGCTTTGAACCCTTCAAAGGGCTCTTTGGCGGCAGATGTGCCCAACGCCATGTGCCATCTGGGGTGTTTGTTGACTGCTGCTTCCCGGGGCGTTGGTTTTAGATCCACCTAAAAGGAGAATCTTGACAACCTTATGAGTTTACCTGTGTGGCCGTCGTGACCTGTCACTTCCCCAATCACCCCCATAACCCCGAGGATTGCCTGTGCGTTCTGGGTGGCCACTGCACCGCCGTCCTGACCCAGCAGAGAAGCAAAGGGTGCGCAGCGGGGGAGGAGCGGCCGGCGTCAGGAGCGGTGGGAAGGCGGAAAGGTGGACATGGATCTCACCTCCTGCTCCCAGGGACCAGCCTTGGGCTGAAGTTGCTCTTGACTCTTTCCTCCTCGTCCTGAAGTCTGAGGAGGACAGGCTGCCACACCGCCATGTTTTAATGCTACCCCAGCCAAACCAAGAGGGCGGGGCCTCCGAGCAGGCGTGTTCTCCGAATTCCAGGCGATGGGAATGCCATTCCTGAAAGGCACTGGGAGGGAGAGGTGAGCAGGCAAGCCCCCCCTGGGCTGTGCCTGTAGAAGGAGCCCTGGTAGGATAGACTCCTTGAGCTGCCAACTGCTCGGCCAGGGGTTCGAGCCCGCCAGCCGCTCTGCAGGGCAGGGACGGGAAGGCTGTCTGCTCCTGTCAGGAGTTACCCTCTCGGAGAGCCACAGGGGGCAGTTCTGCCTGTGCTGTTGTTCCGAAGGAGCCCACCGCTTCACGAGTCAGGGGCAGATGCTGTCGCGATGAAACCAGCTGAAAGGGGCACTGTTTTTTTTTTCTTGGAACTTGATGTTCAGTCATTTTCGTTCTATGATCGCACAGCACATTTTCCTCTTCACTGAATCCCAACCCCCCACCGCCCCCGGCAGGGCTCACTGAGGTCAAGAACCCTCAGGCTGCCCGAGGTGGGGCCCCTTCCGCCTCCCTCTGCATCTCCTCTGATGTCACAGGCAATTAAACAAGCCCGGGAGCCCAGGACCTGCTAAGGAGGGGGAGCCGGATCCAGCCCCCCAGGCGGCCCTGGGAGGCTGTGTAACGGATACCTCAGAGAGTTTTCACTGGTGTAGCCACCCGTGCCTGCACGTCTCAGAACAAGACAACACCTTCCCAGCGTAGTACTCCTCTGCCCACTCTGCACCCCCAGAAGCTTCCTTCTGGGGCACACTGCCAGCTTCTCCAG